TTAATCGATACATCAAAATACAAAAAAATAAATCAAAATTATTAAGTTTATTACCTAAAGGCTAAATTGCTTAACTTAACATTTAGTTAAATGGTGCAAAGAAACAATAGTTACGCTTGTAGGTAGGAATATAAATTAATGTAGATATGGATCTTAACGTTTTTTTTTTTGGGACATTTATATTAATTAAAGTAAGAATATTAATCAAGATAGTCTGGAATTTATTAGCAGTTATTATATAATATCTTACTAACTATAAGTCTATAACTAACTATTAAGATACTTGCTAAATAGATAGATAAGGATTTATTTTAATTTTAATACAAGCGTCGTGAGTTTTACTAGATTTAATCTTTAAAATTTTAAATACATTTTTTATAATAGTAGCATAAGTGATAACTACAAATTAGAGCCCTTTAATCAAAATTGTTAACCTATCTACATAAGATTATAATTTCAGTTTTTGGTACCACTTTAGATCTTAAAATGTATGTCACGACAGATCCTTAGTTATGTCATATTCTTAGCTCCCATTAAAATTCCTGTGAGCCTACCCCTGCCTATAGGTATCAATGTAATTGTTATTAAATATACGTAAGGCCCTGGGGCCTGGGCAAGTGACCCGTTTGCACTGCCCTCGGACAGCACACACAGTGACAAATTGTTATCCATCATCATTCTAATCATCAAACAGAATACCCTTTATACTTCTTAGTTCTTAGTATTTCAAAAGTACATTAAATATTAATCCAACGATAAATGTTTGCATTTTTCTTAAATGAGTTAACCAACAACCTTAATCCTGGGCACCTGGCAGGAAATATAGAGCTATACTTAAACCAGTTAAACCATTAAACTGTTATCGATATTTTTTTTTAATCGATTAATAGATTGTTTTAATTGATTAATTGATCAAATTAACCGATTAATCAATAGTTCCTCGACTATATCAACAATCGAGCACTCTAGCACTCCTTGATGAAAATCTTCGATTCATCGAAATATTCGATTTTTTAATACTTTGGACAATCGATTAAATTTTATGACAATCAAACAGGCCTAAGTATACCTACGTATTAAATAAGAGAAAAATATCGATAAAATAGACATTTTTATTTTCATATATCAATGTGGTAAATTTATAATATAGCCAATAGTTATTTATAAAATAATAAGTACTTTTAATATTTTAACTGTTATTGCTTAAATTAAATGTAATTTATTCTAAAAAATATTTGGTAAAAAATAAATAATATTTCGAGAACAGATAAAATAAAAATTTTGGACCCCCTCCTAAAAAATTCCTGGGTACGCCCCTGGTTCATTACCTACAGCTCATGTTCCTGTTGCTCATTCGAATGAATAAATAAAAATACAGGTATTAATTTGAATTAAATATTTATTAAATAAATATATTTAAAACCTACTACATATAAAATAAGTATTAATAATAACAACACAAATAGTTCTTATATTACTGGCGTAGGGAAAGTGGCGCCCCCATCGCCCAGTACATCGCATGATGCACTGCAATAGCCACCACAACGATCTGAAAGGTCGATGTGGTCTGGTCCCCCAGGTTGGGGGTTTGTTGACGGGCTAACAACCCGTCCCAATAAAAAAACTACTGTTAAGAAACCACAATCAACTAAGCCTCGGATACACGTATTACCCAGAATCTCTTCTGGAAATGGAAAACGGAAATGTAAGGAGATAAAGATTGCGACTTGGAACACGCTGAGCCTGTATCGCACTGGAGCTTGTCAGAATCTGGCTGATGTACTGAAAGAGTACAATGTCACAATTGCAGCACTTCAAGAAGTGAGGTGGACTGGTACAGGCCAAGTAAAAATAAATGATTATACAATTTATTATAAAGGAAAAGATGACTCACACCAGTTTGGTGTCGGTTTTGCTGTAA